TAAAAATGCAATGAACGAAAGGTTAAAATCATGAACTAAAACACAAACAGAAATACGAACAAACATACAAATAAAACAATTAAGGAAATTAAAAACGAACAATTAAAACAAACAAAACTTAATAAAGTCTATAAAACACTAAATAAAACATTAATAGCTAAAAAACATGATCCTTTGTGCCAGCCTTCCTTGGAGAGGCGTGCTTGGCCAAGAGATGGCGCTCCCCAAATAAAAGGGGTAACCCACTAAAATTGTTCAGATCACTACACTAGTTCTTTATCTGATTCTTGTTCCTACTTTATTCTTACCATCATTAAAGTCTTTATTATCATATGATCGTCATCATTATGTGAATTAATATCATTATTATCATCTGTGTGATTACCATCCGTTGGCAATTGTTCCAACCGTCATATAGTTTCATATTTATTGTTTTTTATCCTTATCCTTCCTTTCGTTTCATTGTATTTTTTTTGTCCATTTGCGTTGATTACTAATACTTTTGCTTTTAGTTTTATTATTCATACCTCACCATTATTGTAGTTTTTGCTATTAGTATTTTTGGAAATAATATTACTATTATCATCATCATTATCATCAAAGTGTTTCATGGTATCAATGTCAGTAGAGTAATTATTCGAGCCACCATAGATTTCCATAATTATTTTGGTATAATTATTACTACAGTTTCTTTATGCCATTTTGAATATTTTTGCTTCACTGTTTTTTCGTTATGCATAATTATTAACATTACTTAACTTTATTTAATATTAACACTATTTATTGTTAACGTTATTTTTATTAACATTGTTCATCATTTATTTCTTCATTATTTATTATTTATTAAAATAATTTATTATTAACATTATTTTCGCTCTTGCTGCAGTTCTTGTTATTATCATTATTTTTAGCAGTAATAGTATTTCTATTATTATAAGTATACTGATTATTGTCATTGATATTTCTTTATTATCATTGTTGCTATAATTATCACTATCATTATTACTATTATTATCACCATTCTTTTATTATTATTAGTAGTAGTATTGTTATTATCATAATTATTTTTATTATTATATTTAGCATTTTTATTCTTGTATAATTCTTATAATTGTCATTGTTATCTGTTATCATTTTTATTATGATCATTATTATTACTCATATTATGATCCTCATGATTGTTATTATTACTACTAAAAGTAATATTATTGGTAATATCTTATTATCATTAATAGTTTTACTTATTTTTTTCTTTATTGTTATTATTATCATTATTGCTCTTCCTTTCGTTTTTCCTCCTTTTGTAATTCCTGCTTTTACTAATATTTTTATATGATCATTTACACTATTATCATCATCATTATCATTGATATCATGACCAGACGAAATGCCTTTTTCGGAGGGCGGAGCTTTGTCAGCGAAGGCACTGATCGCCTCCTCAACTCGGACGACTTTCAGGCCGAACGGCGATGCACTGGGCAGCCAGGTGGGGGCAGTGGGGGGCGCTGGAGGCTCTTGCGGCGGGCGGGGCCGACGTGGACCCCGTCGATGATGAGGGCAACACGCCTCTCCACGACGCAGCTTCAAGGGGGCATCTTCTCGCGGTGGGCGTCTTGACTGGCCTCGGGGCGTCCACCAGCAAGAAGAATAAGGGCGGGAAGACTCCGCAGGACCTGTTGGGGAAACCTTCCGCTGATGAACTCTTCTCCATGGTAAAGACAGAAGGCAATCAGACTGATATGGACCAATGTGCTGTTATCAGGCTGGGCGCCTTGGTCGTTGGCTACACTTACTGTTGTTTATTAGTCGGATATTTTTTTTTTTTTTTTTTTTTACGTTGAATACACTAACTCTAGTCGACTAAAGCGAGTTACTTTTCAGGCGAAGAAATGTGCTGCGGCCGAGAAGGAAAGGATGAGGAAGATGCAGGTTAGTTCTTATTTTCCCAAAAGATCCAGTTCTGTCTGCACATGCGGAGCACTCGAAGAAATACAAAGAAATACAAAGAAATGCAGAAATACAAAGAAATACAGAAATACAAAGAAATACAGAAAGACAAAGAAATACAAGAATGGAGAAACTGAAATCATGCGTAGAGTAAGACTAACCTGAGAGGTGATCCTCTGATCTGCTTCTCGACTCAATTCCCGCTTTATTCACCGAGTCTTAAGGAGCCGATGGTCGTCTGGTTCCGCTTCCGCTGCGGCGCCAAAGCAGTTCCCTCGACGCTCTCCTGAGACTGTTTTCCCTTGCAGGACAAACTCGAGGAGCAGCAGAAGGAGATGAAGAAGAGGTACGACTCGAAGGAGGCGGAGGCAGACACTCTGCAGAAGGAAAATGGAGAGTTGAAGAAGGAGCTTCAGGAAAAGGAAAAGGAAAACAAGGTAACTCAGGTGCATGTAAGAGACACAGGGAGGGAGAGAAAAGAATGAAGAAGGAAGAGGGGAGAAGAAAAGAGAAATGTGATAGTAGGGAAGCCACAGAGAGTATAGGAGTGGGGAGCCAAGTAGAAAGATATGAGAAGACACTTTCCTGAGACTCTTCTCTTGCAGGACAAACTCGAGGAGCAGGCGAGGAAGATGAAGAAGAGGTACGACTCGAAGGAGGCGGAGGCAGCCGCCCTGCAGAAGGAAAACGAAAAGATTAAGAAAGACCTTCAGGAAAATGGGAGAGAGAAAAAAAATCTGAAGGTACGTGTTAGTGAGAAAGGGAGAGGAGAGAAAGAAGAAGGGAGGAAAAGGAGAGTGGAAAAGAGAGAAATCATTGTTTTGTTTCATCTGTTACAAGGGCTGTTCCTGATGTAACAGTCTGTCTGTTTCATCTTGCTTCTAAATGACCCCCATGTGCAAGGAATGGCCGGGGTTGCCATCCACTGGCGGTGCGGGGAACTGAACGCGGGTCAGCAAGAGTGCCGGACAAGACCGCTACCACTGCACCACACAGAAAGGGGATAGGGAAGCCAGAGAGAACATGGGAGGAGGGGCTAAGTAGAAAAATATGGAAAGACATTCCTGCGACTGTTTTCTCTTGCAGGAGAAACTCGAGGAGCAGGGGAAGGAGATGAGCAAGAGGTACGACTTGAAGGTGGCGGAGGCAGCCATCCTGCAGAAGGAAAATG